CATTTGAGTTTTCTCCGGGAACTTAAGATTGTCGTTGTCATCTAACTTTGTATGGCATCACGGAATACGACACAATTATTTGTCGTATGCTTGTTCGAGTTATGATACTTGCAGTATGTCCTCCCTTTCAAATCTTCGGCCTTAGGAATGTCATGCCCCGGCCGAAGCTTGATGATCTTTGCAAGTAGTAACAGGTTGAAAATGGCATCAGCCTTAGTGATGTCAAAAGTGTATACCTTTGCTGTTTTGATAGCTCCTTCCACAGAGACTGAGCCATCCTAGCTAAATAAGAGACTGACACTTCTATTCACGGTCATTAGAATTGTTCATGAAATTTCTCAACCGATTCCTCCTAATTTTGTATAGAATTTGGTGGGAAGTTGATGTACCATGCGAATGTTGTGTCGGTCAACGAGAAATTGAACAGTCGTAGTTTATGGAAATCATTTTTGATATCTCCACAATGGGCAGTGAACCTGGCCACATGTTCTAACGAGGACAATGATGACTCTCTAGCAAAGAGACTAAAATCTGGAATTTTGAATCTTCGGGGATATTCAAACCTTTCGACAAAGGCTGGATATGGATAAATGAATTTTGGGAACTTCAGCCCTTTTTTCAAAGCCGAATCAATCATTCTCTGGACTTCAACCATATCAATGGCGTTGTTTTCGTTCTTCTGTCAACTCCGACCCAACTGGTGCTTGGCTCACCATATATTTTCTTAAGATCAATTGTCTTGGGTCGAGCAAGTCCTGGTTCAACCTGTACTGGTGACAATCTTTCCCATGCCAATGGAGTATTCTTTAAAAATGGAAGCTGCTTAGGTCAATCGAAGTGTTTGTTCTCATGAGTGTTGTTCTATAATTTCGAGCAACTTATTATTTAAAGCGCCATTATCACGTACTTCTTCAAGGATGTTTTTCACCTCTCGGCCAAAAATTTGCTCAAACTGTCGAGACTGCTCTTCCAATCATCGACGCATGAAAGATTTAGATGGTGGATAAGAGATCTCGTCATCGTCGTCGCAATCCTCTACTAGACCTTCAATAAAACCATCTATTGTCGTCTTGGTATTCTGGGCGAAGACTATGGCATCATGACTTTGATTGCCAAGATTAACTTCCTTTTCCTTGTGCGTCGTACCCGTAGCTTCAAGCGTCACGGCAACAGGAGGATCCTGCTCATGCGACACGTTACTCTATACTGAACTTCGAACTATAGGTGCTAAACTGGTGGTCGACTTATCCATAGTTGTTTTCTTTTTAATTGATTGTGTTTCAATGGTCATTTACTTCCTAGCATTAGCACTGGGTCCCACTGGGAGTGCCAAAATGTTGACCCTAAAAACTACCTAGCCTATGTGGCGCACAAGCCGAGTAATTAATAAGCGAACTACATCATTCAGTTGAATGCAGAGCTTGTCAACTCATTGTAAGAGGAAAGATCTGTCTAGGCCTTCGAGTTCTAGAGCCTGGAGACAAGGCTGCTAGTTCTGCGAAATTCAATATCAAATTCGGCTTTCAGTGTGCCGAATGTATTAACTTGGTAACATCTCACTTCGCTGAGAAGGCTGATGAGATGACCTCTACCAACAAGGACTCATAAATCCTTGTTGACCGAGACTTGGATAAATAACCAATCGATCTCGAAGTAGTGTTGTTTATCCAAACGAAAAATACTCTTCAGTCGGCTGATTCTACGACTCCAGTGATGTTTATCCAAATTGAAGATGTGTTGGCGAAAAAAAGAAAATAAAAATCTCAAGGTGTTTGAGAGATTTGTGCAGGGCAGTTGTGTGTTGAATTAGAGGGCTTTGAATGATGCACTCCCCTCTCTATTTATAGTAATGATCTCCTTCATGGTTGAGATAGAATTCCACTTGGATTAGAATTCCTCAACCCGACCTTATCAGGTCTCGACCAATCCTAACCCCTGTAGGACTCTGAACCAAACTCTTTAATCACGCAGATTCATCCCTTGATTCTCGGCATATTTTCTTACTCAAAGCATCCTTAATTTTCGAGAATCCTCATTGTATTGGGATTTGATCACTTAACCCCTATCCAGATAAAACCATCTCCTGATAAGATTCAGCTGAACTCCACTGGGCTCGGCCCATGACAGAATATTCCAGTATCCCTTTCTAAACCTAGAATAACTCTAGGCTCGGTCCAAAGCGTTATTTCGGGCCCGAACATATATTCTAAAATGCATGGTAGGTATAAAAGCACACCACAAAGTAGCACACAATAATCCTATTAATTTTCCTTATTAACACTAAGATTTGTCAATTGTAGCATATGAAACTAAGGGTCTTTCCCGTAGAAGATTGTTTTATCCAAATACTTAAAATGTCACAAAAACAGGGTGGCCGTCTCCACTGACCAGCCACCGAACAATAATTATTAGACTAACTTACACTTATCCAAATGCAACGAAATTTTATACACATAAACTAGAGACACCAAGCTATGCTCACACAATATTTTGGGATTTTTGGAGTTGATTTGCTATTTAAATTAAATCGTACAAAAACAGTACAGAAATCAATTTTAAATAATACCAATAGATTTTAATTCACAAGTTAAGAAAATGAGTTAGGGGACATGCTATCCACCACCAAATAATCATGCAAGTATGTTATGTTTCATTCAAATCCCTTTTATTTCCGGATGAAGATGCTCAAGTTGGCTCAATGTTAGAACACAACCTATTACTCTTTCTTACGTAGTATGTTAAGAGAATGGTGTTTTCAACTCAACTTAGTCCCTAGCATGCAATCTAGAATGGTGTGTTCATAGATTTAACAAGTAGAAATCATTAAGAATAAAAAGAGTTTGAGTCATCACAAGGCATCGTAAGTACTGGTGTTGTCTTACTTATCCTAGAAATTGTTTAACATGTTAACCACAATTAACAAGTGCTACTCTAGAACATATGTAGGTCCTCATTCAACAAGGGCAGGCAAACATATATTCATAGCATTAAAATCCTAGATATGCTCACTATGTATGCATCCATAGAAACACATAAAGAATTTATCAATGACATAAGTAGTGAAACAATTTTCATCCTTCCATAAAAGTCATTCAAACAAAATATCACAACAAACTTACAATCATATTCGGGGCTTCAAAACAGCCCCTAACTACTAAAATTTAGTTACACATTATTCTCAAATTAAACAAAAAGTAAAACATGAGTTTGAGAAGATAAAACCAAGAAAAGAAGATCTGCCGTGCGTCCGTGCCTCTGTGCTCTGCTGTCCTCTCTCTCTCGCCTGCCAATCTCAGCTTCCTATTTTTCCGTGCCTCTGACCTCTGCTCTGCCTTCTCCCTTCTCTCCCCGCCAGTCTCTCGCTCCCGTGCGCTGCTCCTGTCCTCCTCTTATTCTTCTTTCATTTTTTTTTTATTCCTTCTTTTCTTTTTCTTGTCTGCCATGCCTCTTTCTTTATTCTTTTCTGTTTTTCTTTCCGTTAGTCCTCCACTTCTTCCACTCCTTTCTTTTCTTTTCCTATTTTATTTCCACCAATTCGTGTCTCTTTATTTTTGCCTATTTTATTCATTCTTTTCGTTCCACTTCCTCTCTTTTATTCCTCGTGCCGTCTCCCATTTTCTTCATACTTTTCTTATATATATTTTTTTTCTTTTCTTTTCCTTCCACTCATCTTCCTTTCTTGCTTTTTGCTTTGATTATTCATGCATCAATCCATTATTTTTGCTCCCTTGTCTTTTATTTTCTTTTCAGCCCATTTTGTTTGAAATTAATCCTACAACAAAATTAACTGTACATTAACACAAGATAAGGTAAAATGCCACAATTTTAACACAAAAACATCCAAAGACTTTAGAAATGAATGGTATAAATGCATGAAATATACGAGTGATCAATGCACAACAACAATGAGACACTAGGATCACAAATGCAATAACCAAATCGATATGAAAATGAAATAAACTTATCTGCAGAATACGGAAGACATGGCTCTTGCAAACAACAAGTGAGTCTTCTACTTTCAGCAAACAAAAATGTTCCAACAATAATAGGGTTTGCTCATAATGAAACTTATTTTTGTGAAAGCAAAGATTGCCTATATACAGTGATAAAGGCTAGTTTGGTATTAATGTGCTTTTCAAAAATACTGCTTCTGCTGTGAAAATAAACTACTATAAAATAAAGTTGTTGAGTGTTTGTAAAAGTACTTTTAACAAAAAAAAATATGTCTAAGTACTTTGTAAACTTATATAAATTGTTGTGGATATATTAAATGACTAAAAAAAGATATGATATTTAATGTGATATAATAATTGTCAAAGAAAATAATGTAAAGGTAATGATTGTAATTTTGTAAAATGTGTGCGGTATACTTGTCATTTGAAAATTTCATTAACTAGCCATTTATTACTATGCTTTGAAAAAAAAAGCACTGCTTTTAGAAGCATGGTAGACTTTGATTCTTCTTTTCTATGCTTTTTACTGTCATTGACAACAATTTTTTAATTTTTTTTTAAAAAGTACTTTTTTTTTGTTTTACCAAACACATTTGATGTTCCACATGTTTTAGTAAGCTTTTTTTTTTTTTTTTTTTTTTTTTTTTTTAAGCAACTCAATTGCAAACCAGCCCTAAGACCCATATTAGTCAGATCTATTATTGATAAATAGGGATTTGTTAAATCATAGGATATCATTTAGAGTCCTAAATAGTATAGAAATCTTGTCTAACCAAATAAGGCCTCTTGACACTCACAAGCTTACAGTATATATATCGTCGCCATAAACACAATGCGACAACACGCTCTTGTGGTTTTAAACTTGAAGCGATGACGGTCTTTGTCCATTTAACTTTGGGGCAACAAATGCATACTTGATCGCGCAATGATCCTTGCGCAACGATATTTTTGTGTGTCGCGCAAATGTTTGACCCTTGCGGGACGACGACTAGGCAACAAAATTTTTAGCTGACGAAACTTTGCTTTACGTGCGAACTTCTATTCGTTGCGAAAGCTGTTTACTGTGGTAATGATATAGATAGCAAATTCATATTCCATCAGAAATTATCTTGGTAATACGTTTGCCGAACGTAAAAAGATTAATTTGATAGCTTGACTCTCAAGACAAATAAAAGAAGGAAAAAAAAAAAAATGGCCAAGTTACTCCCCCAAGTACTTATTATTGCATCTCTATCCTGTCTTAGTTTCTGCCTTCCTAGTTCATTATTTCAGGTCCTTCCCACCTTGATCCTTTTCCTAGGGGTCTTGATCTTGTGCTTGTTTCTTAAGAATTTCCTTCAAGTGGTCGGAAATCAGGATCTGCGGAGTAGGTAGCGAAGATGCTAGTGACTCTTCTACAGCGCTGTCCATATTTTCGATCATCGACCGGCCTTTAATCATGTCAACCTCCCCATCTTCATTCATCATCACCATATTACAGGGAAGTTTTCCAGCGTAAAATTTTCTGTCATTTTTTTGGTGCCTGCATTGGTAGACATCCTATTAAATGACACAGACTTGCATTGCAAGGGTATACATAAATAGTTTCATTATACATCAATAGTTTTACTATATCAATACATCCAAACTTACACGATGACTATTTTGGAGTGTTAATAAAAATTACAATGTGAAATGATTTACTAAAATGTACACTAAATAAATCCAAAGTCTTCGATATTACTACATAGTTTATACCTGTCAAAAACCACCCATGTCGCATGAAGGGTTGTAATTTCCTCAACAACCATTAGCCGTAAGGGATAACCCATTATAACTTTCTTCCGTGGAAAAACCTGCATGAACATGCGATACACAAGCAATCATATGTTTACGGGGACTTGGTATAATACAACTTGCTGTAACACCATACGTATAGCTTCATTGTTAATACGTACCCCATATTTGTTGCACAGATCCACGACTTTCTGAAGCTTTAGATATTTGATGTCACTCTTCCACTCGTTCCTCTCTTTGAAAAATGATAACTCTTCTAACCCCACTGGCCAAACATCCAACCATGTCTTGGAAGAGACTGCACATTACCAGAACCCAAGTATTCCATTTCACATAAATATTAGATTAAGTCTTGGTAAAAATTAAAAGAGTTTTATGTCTAATCATATATAGTTCCATATGATATTCAACTGTTCATTAACACATAACCTGACCGTTTTGCAGGACTAATTTTAATATGAATCCGATCGCTCCCTCTATCATAACTAAGAAATATCCTCTCCAAATGAATAGGCATACATGCACGTAGCTAGAATTGAGCTAAACATTGCTATGCATTCAGAGCTAATTCGCACGCTATAAATTCATGCATGCTACTAGCTAGCTAATTGTATGTATGTATGTATGTATGTCTACTCACGGGGGATATTCAGCCACGGCATGACACCAAGAAGAGTGACCGTGGAACCAGCGTTGATTACATTCTCGAGCGCCCATTCAAGCGGCTCTGTTCTGAACTCTTTCATCCCATCCATCACGATGAGTACATGTTTCGGAGTGTTCATCGACCCTGGTGACTCCAACATAAGATCGTTTTCAAGTGCCCTCCTGTTCCAGCTGAGAATAGATTTTCGCAATGTTTTCTGCTTCTTCCCTCCTCTTTCGAAGAAAACAACCATATTGAATCACCTGCTAATGTCTTTGGAAACTTTACTAAGCCAAGCTTATTGTGCAAAATGTTCAGCACGGAGAGAGAGATGGAGGTACCCAAAAGGGAATTGTTACAAGAAATTCATGTCCTTAAATAGTATGCAAACTTTGTTTCCAAGGGATACCCCAAAACTAAGGGCTTTGATAAAACCAAGAATGTGTGCATAGTTGTCGTGCGTACTTTGACATAAACAAAGATTCGTTGGCAATATGCATGCATGACAAAGGAGTATACGGTTGTGCAATTTTGGGTTTTGGTTTTCCCTAAGATTAATCAAGATGCTCATTCCTAAATCTTATCTCCGACCTTATTAATTCCAAATTAAGGAGTCCACGGCCATATTATTAGTTACTAGCAAGAACAACCTCCATTAGTTTATTGCATATCTCCAAAATTTATGTGGTGAAGCCATATAATTAGTGTGGTGACTGGTGATTATGACTTGTTATTTGGCTATTCATGATTAATCCCTTCGTACTTAGACAATTTTATAAAAGGACACTTTACAACTCAATTTTTAAAAATAAAAAGTTTTAATTATACGAAACCTTTTTTTTTCCAGAAGGTAAATTGATTTTATTGAACCAAATCAAAGACGAACATCAAACACCCGCCTCAGCAGCTAATGCATTCAACAACCAGCGCGATAAATACATATTTTTGTTGTAAATATTATGTATTAGTATTTAAGTGTGATGGTGTAAACTAGATGTACCTAGGGTTTTATTGTGGGTCTCTTGCATAAGACTCACAATTAGATTGTAATTGCTTAAGACTCCCGATCATCTCCACTACAATACTTACATGTATTTAATACAATTAATGTAACGTATTTCTAGTATAAAATTATTTATACCTTCATTCACATCACTAGTTGGCTGTCAAAAAGAAGCAATTATTTTCTTTTAGCCAATTTGATTGAGCCAAATCGCCCCTTAACTCAAAGACAAGCAATGTCAAGGGCATTTAATTAGTCTATAAAAGCTACTTGTAATATCATAACATAGATAATATCATTTGTTAAAAAAAAAAATAGCCCACGAATTGGCTAGTTTAACTAGGAAATTATTCCTTTGCCAAATTCTCTCTTTACATTATTATACCAGGCTTCTAATCCTAATCATCAAAATAAACCCAATGATTGTGATTATGTTACAAAGTCCAAATTAATTTTATTTTTGGCGTTCTCGTATATGAATCAAAAGAGAAATAATAAATACATCATTTTTAATCTCTCACACAACTGTTTAATTTTGTTTGTTGTTTCCATTTAATTTATTTAATTTGACAGCCAAAAATAAGAAAGAGTGCAAGAAACTAAAATGAGTATAAAAATCATCTCCCAAATCAAAATCTTCCCATCGGTAGAATTTCCTCCTGTGTCAAAAATTATAATGATAAACACACTCTACAGTATTTTGCACTTACAATACAAGATCAAATCTTCTTTTTGTTTCTGTTCAAATGAAATATTTGAACAAAATCATCTTTACATTTGTTGCTTAACTAGAGACAGCTTATAAGGCAAATGATCGACCAAAAGAACTTCATAGCGAAAATATCCCACAAAAAAACCGCACTCAGCGTAATGCAGCTGTCACAGGACGCATAGTGTGGTTGGTTTTAAGGCTGCCGCCACCACGGCTGACCTTTTTGCACGGTGATGATCCCGCTCTCTTCCTTTTCTTGTCCAAAGAACTTCCACTCTGAGGTCCTACCATGGCAGCTAGGAGTTGACTTGCCCTCCCCTTAGTCAGACTTTTTTTGAAAGATATCTGAGAGCTTCAGTTCTCTCTGCATCATCTACAACATTGTTCAAAGCTCTTTTACACAACACATTGTCCGCTGACTTCAAATAATCCTTTCGAATAACATTTTTCAATGATCTTTTACAGGTCACGTTGTCTGCAGACTTCACATGATCATGTGGAAGACGAAAATTTGGTTCTGATAATATCCATTCAAACTCGTTAAGTTAGTTGCATTCATAAATTTCATGAAAAAGCCAGTAAATTTTTTGGATCAGATTGAATTTTCTTACCTGGCGACTCAAAAACCAAATCTGGACTTGGAGATCAGGGTGGCGTCATAGGTTGGAGAATAACTTTAGCAGACCCTTTATGACAGCCACTTCCAACAAGAGTTGATGTACTACAGATATTCTCAGTGTTGAGTGACGTTTTATCAAAATTGTTTCTTCCCTGACCTGGATTCGAAGCATCAATGACAGCATCAGTATCTATAGTCTCCTTGGAACAACCAGCATCACGCCTAGATCCGTTAATCCGTTCAGAAAGTCCATTAGCTGCACCTCTAGTGTCAGAGACCTCAACTCCTTTAGGTCTTACTGGACTCAACGAAAGAGTATTCATCTCACGAGCATCGGTGGGTTCATTGGCAGCACGAAAATGAACATCATTGGCACTAGGAGATAAATTACTGATGTTCTCAACATTCTCTAGAACCGACTTAGGTGATGTACTCATAATAGCTGGATCCAAGCATGGCTTTAGTGCTTCCACTACACTCGAAAACCAGGGAGTACCCTTCCTTGCATACAACAGAATGTATCCCCCCTGTGATAGAACAAATTCTTCTCGAACCCTAGTGACCTACAAAAAGAAAAAGAGACATGAATGGCAACTCAACCACTTCCACACACACCAGATTCCCAAGAATTATAAAGCCGCGCAGGTAAAACAGTCACAGTGAATACTACAGAATTTATACAGGAAGTATTTACCCTTGAGTCATCCAACCTATGCCATGTATCTGGAGACGATCGAACAAAGCAAAAGTAATGCCCAGAAGTAGATGAGAACCCAACATGCTCCACAATTGCATAAAGTTCGTACTTCAATTCCACCTATTGCAACAAAACAGGGAATTAGAACTCCAGGACGACACCCATTTTTTCATTTTCGTAAAATTCAAAGAAACCAAACCCTTGACGTAACCTAATCCTAACCCATTACTCCCAACCTTCCTCACCAATTGAGCCAACCCCAAGGGCTTGAGAGACCACACATTTAAAATTACGGTACCTAAACTGTGCACATAACATTCAGCTGACCTTTATTGTAAGATCATTTAATCATTATCATGTATTAACAAACCTTGCATTTCTTGTAACTGAATTCAGGTTGAATAATAAGCTAATAAGCAGCATTGTAAATATACTTACAAGCAGCAACTCACATCGCTGTCAATGTCATTGCCACTGGTGTATGGCTTCAAGTCCAACTCCCGAGGAAACTCTACATGTTTTTCAATCTTCTGAACATTAGATCCATCAGTCTTAAATCTCTTTAGATGAAATGCAGCAACTTGAGGGGCCTGGTCAACCACAAGCTGCTTCTCCACCGACACTTCTTTGCACTTCTCACATGTAAACTTTGTCTCCGAGTCATTGATATTTTCTATCTTAGTGAAGGACTCCAGAGCCCTTGGAAGTGTATCTGCTTCTTCAATCTCCAGACTCAGATCAATCAGAGGTTCATATGTGTCAGAACAGTGACCGCAATTGCAACATCGGAGCTGAAAGCAATTCATACATACAAATATCAATAAAAGTTATAACTGAAAATTGATTTTCTGGGTTTCCCATCAAATGTTAACCATAATACAAAGAGCAATAGCAGTCACATGTAGTCATACTTTGCTTAGGAGACGACCACCAAAAACCCTTTCCACAAGGTTTTTATCTTGCACAGAGGAACTCTCATCCTTTTTCATACAATCCAAAGAAGATCTCTCAAGTTTATCTAAAAAACACTGCAAGAACTCATGTGCATCTTCTTGCTGGTATCTTTGGAAGTAAGATGAGATATCTAGTTGCATGAAGGGTTAAGAATCACATTCCAATGCGAAAATTCTCGAGTAAAACTTAAGCATTTTCAAATCTACGAGTAAAATTATAAACATTACAAAGTGCAATGGAAAATCCAAATTTTACAAATATAAAGTCAAAATCTTTATCAATATAAATATCATTTCATGTGAATGAAAGGATACGATTCAAATTGTCAACAAGTTTCCATGGTGAAACAACTCTTCCTGAAGAAGCTATTGAAAGATCAATGTGGTCACGAAGAGCACAAAGAATGCAGAATCCTTCACTACCACCTGAATACTCCCAATTTCATATTTAAATCAGTAAATTTGACTAAGAAATCATCATAAACCGGCAATAGTAACTAATAAATGAATATGAAAAAACTGCAAAAGAAACTAAGGTCTTACAATCACAGGGTATCGAATGATTGGAAGAATGAAGACCCTCCAAGAGCGGCACAGTGTGTGTAAAGCACTGCAGGATTGCATTCATAAAGCATGTGCTACCTAGATTTGCAAGCCCTGCACTCTGCAACACCAAAACCACAACAAATCTCAACATCCTAAGATTACTGAAATAAAATTAAAAATTAAAAAAATAAACCGAAACAAGCACATCTACAAATGGTAAGCAAGGAAACATTAATACATGTATATGTTTATAAAGATGCAAAAAAAAAAGGAGCATACCACCATAGAGGGTTTGGTTTCTTCCATGGGAAACTGGGATTGTAAGGAAATCAGCGAATCCTTGGTAGAAGACGATAAAGTCCACGGAGAGAACCAAGAAGACGAAAATCGCAATGAATCGGAAGAATTCGATTCACAATTTGATAAATTATTACCGGCAAGATTGAGAGGCGAAGGCAGTGGAGAATGTTCACCTTCTTCTTCTCGTTCTCCTTGATCTCCTTGTTCTTGTTCAAAAATTGGTGAAGAGCCGTTAGGGTTTGGTAAAGAAGAATCCGGCGATGGGTCGCCTAGGGCTTTCAGAGGGGAAGACCCATCTGCATTTTCGGGCATAGAAGCCAACGCAAGGCCGTCCAGGCATCAGGTTGGGAAAATGGCGGAGACCTATCGAGGGTTTCTGCCATTGAAGCTGGAGAAGATGAATTTCTCAGTTGGGTATTTCGAAAAGGTGAATCAGAAGGCGAAGAGTTGTTTTCTGAGAGAGGGATTTCTTCCATTGGTGACTCTGAAGAGATGAAGAGGT